TAGATCCTGCGTTACTTGCCACTTCGACTTTTTCAACTGCATCACTAGTAGTCGCGAAGCACGTAAGCTAGTCGTTGTTCTCTACTTCGATATATCTAGGGCATTTGACATGGTATCTCACAGTATTCTCTTTGAGAAGCTGTACTCTTGTGGAATTCGCAACCCATTACTGAACTGGTTAAAATCATTTCTTAGCAACAGGGTACAAATAACCAAAGTTGGATCTGTATTGTCTCATCCTAGGCAGATCTCAAGTGGGGTTGTGCAAGGTAGTGTCCTAGGTCCACTTTTATTCACAGTCTACATTAACAGCATTTGCAAGTGCTTCACCTCAGGTAAACCATTCCTATATGCTGACGACCTCAAAGTCGTCTACTCCTGCTACACTCATGAATTAAGCGATATGGTTACTAAAATACATCTTGAACTAAGTAGTCTCGCAACATGGTGTGCTGGATCCTGTCTAAACTTTAACATTGACAAATGCGGCTGGATTTGTATCGGCAACAGTAACCTTGATCTAACTCTTGAAAGAAATGGGCGAAAACTAGCTGAGCTCAACTCAGTCGTAGATCTCGGTATTAGATACTCTAGTAACCTAACGTTCGCTGAACAGACTGATTATGCCAGACGTAAAACACGAAGGCTGATAGGATGCATAACACACAATTTCTTTTGTTGTGAAACTAGGGTTTTGTTATACAAAGTATGTGTCCGACCTATCTTAGAATACTGCCCGTTTATTCTTAGCGGACTCAGACAAAATGACAAGCTTAAATTAGAGGGAGTGCAACGCCAGTTTACCTCAAGAACTCTTGGTTTAGACAGTGGTCTGGAATACCATGAGCGATGTGAAAGACTAAGATTAGAGCCCCTCTGGAAAAGACGTCTTAAGCTAAACCTCATCTTTTACCATAGGCTAACTAATCTTCTCTTGCATTCCTCCGACCCAATAACTAAACCTACCACTGTCATCAGTTACAATCTTAGAAATCATCACAACCTAGCTGCTATAGAGCATTGTAGGACCTACGTGCGGTACAACTTCTTCTTGAATAAGTTTTCAGTCATTTGGAATAGACTACCAGCTAATGTGCGCGATGCAAACACACTTCCAGTGTTCATCTCCTCAGTCACCAGACTGCTCAAAGATGACAATGCACTTCTACGTCTGACTCTTACACCTTCTTTTTCACCCTACATAGATATTTTAAGTTCTTTAAACGTGTAGTTACAGCAAACTACAATTATAAGTTTTAATATTATTGGAACTAGATGATTAACATTTCTACGCAGGACAGTAATATTAGCTCACACATAATTTAAAAGTTAGCATAACGGGACTAGTTAGTTAATGAACAAAAATAACCATAGTTACTAGACAGAATATTTATTATATATGCGTGTATTTATTAATCACTCCTTAAGGACTCCTCTCGCTTTCTTTTGCTTTGCTGTTGTTTGTCTTCTTTTTTCTCTCACCATTTTAGCTTCCATTGGACTTTTTGAATGAGAATGAATAATGTGGATGTTTGACCATTTACAATGACAGATGATCTGCAGACATTATTGGTCCCGTATCTTTCATTTGCCTAGTTAATAGCGAATTAACCTTCCCCACGACGCAACCTGGATTACATTTGTGGAATATACTCTTATACCAATGGAAAAGTATCAATTTGTAATACAACGTCGCGATTGTAACTTATAACATAACTGATCGTATCTGTAAAAATAGCTTTCTTATTACCCAATTTGGATACAAATCAAAAATGAGATTCGGACTTGTACACACCTAAGTTATATTGTGGAATTACTTGAAGCTTTATTTTTTCCCATCCAAAACATACTTGGGTTTTTTTGTTAATTCGAATACAATATTTCTATATTTCATGATGTGCTCCATTGAATGGCTGGTTATCATATTGTTTCCACAAACCAAAGACAAAAACGTCAGCAACCATGTAATTTAACCATAAACCGAATTTATGAAATTTAAGTAATGCTTATCCATGCCTGTACATTTGGTGTGTCCTACACAGGTAGGAAAAAATATGTATTTTATTAAAACATCATTATTAGGTATGATTGCTAATCGTATACGTAATTTATCATATATTGATGATGCCTGTAAACTGGCGTCCCTCATGTACAGAATGAGAATATATTATTATTAATATTTGTTCATAGACCTTAGTTTATTCTGCTGCTTATATGTTGGTGTTATAATAAGGAATTCTCGCTTCGCCAATCGGTGTTCCGGTTTTCGCGTCCGTTAGTACTAAGCGTTTCTGAAAGGCTTCGAGGGACAGCAAGAGGCCCAGCGTAGCAAGAGCTGGGTGTTAACGGTTTTTCAGACGCCATTGACAAGGGGTAATATCAGAAACATGGAGCATGTAAAATGGAAATAATAATAATGATAACAGCTTAGGTAATAATAATACAAGCGAAAATTTCCGTGGACTTGTTTCACACAGTATTGTCGTTACATGCGGTTTAGAAATCCTAGAATGTTTAAAAATATTGAATATAATCTTCTCTTTATATGATATGGTTAGGGGAAAAACAAAGATTACAGCAGTCATGGAGACAAGTTGGTGTTTGCAATTATGAGAGTAAAACAAACAAAGGAGCAACAGGACCATGAATATAATAGAAATAATAAAAGTAAAACTTTTGGAGATGACGTTAATATGGATAAACTCCTTGAAATAGCCGGTCACGTGTTTGAGATTTCAACGCCACAAACCGTCACTCCCACTGAACAAATACAGGACACTGAGGACTGGACACAGACTTCGGAACATGAAGTCGATTCGAGTCAGCAAAACTAACTACAGGCACACGATGGAGACGTTCTAAGAGCTCATCCGATCAACATCGTTCCAGGACACCTAACATGTCCAGAGATCGTGGTCATCATTGTTGGTATCAACATGATTATGGGAGCAATGCATGGCATTGCCGCTCCCCTTGGAATTTTCAGACAAAAGTAAGTGAAATATTGCGATTAGTGACGAATTCTGCCGTCGGAATTCTAGAGTCCAACAGTCGTTTGTTGTTTAGCAGATCAAAGTACTAGCACTAGATTCCTATTCTACACAGGGAAAGATATAAGCGTTCTCGCTCCGTCCACGCGCGGGCGTCAACATCCCACAGTCACTTTCCAAGCTGTTAACGTGTCCAGTATCATTACGTGTCGATGACAACGTGTAACTTTAGTCTGCAAAATGCCTACACTTGGTTATTAATCACTGCAGAGCCTCGTCGCCAATCTCAAGAATTGTTCCCTTGAAATGTCATTAATTACTGGCAGATTCAATCAGTCTTAGATTGATCGACTCATACGACAAAGCGTACATTGCCAGTACACGCAGCCGGAGAGTGCCTTGAATTCTGATAATAATAGTAATGTGTATTCTCATATAAACATATAAATTTACATGAAAATGCATGCCATTTTTACAGGCACGATCAAGTATGATATAATATCAAATCGTAGATTGTCTACAAGTTAATAATGTTTGAACTGTTAAATATTATATATATATACATAAATGCACTCATTGTCTGAACTAGGCTGTGTAGTTATTGAATTGTACAGTTGTCCTCCAGGTTGAGCGGGAAAATCGACTTCGTTTCGTTTTCATCCCATGGTTGTACGCATACGATAATCAACCAATATTGAGGCAAGCACAACGTCAACAAGGGATTGAAAGCTGTTTTCGAAAAGTAAAAGTGCTAAGGTGAATCAATAAAGTGAAATGAGATAGGTAAGTGCAAGTATCACTAATAAATGGATTTATGAAGGAAACTCCCTAGACTGACAACGTTCATTTGCAATGTATAATGCTACACGTATATCTCGTACTATCATGATGTCCACTTTTGGTTTTAATACATTTATCCTCATGCCGGTTTTTCTAATTTATACCTTTTCGTGCGTTTGATTCATAACCGTACCCTACAGAGAATACGAATAGAATAAGTCGAATCAAATTCATAAAGAGCTCTAAAATGTTAGGTTTAATGGAATATAATGAGGACCGATTAAAGACGTTATCAGAAAATGAATGAGATGAGACATTGTGAAGTGGTATTCATAGATGCGACAATGGACAGCAAGTTAATTTATAAGACGCCCCATAAATCCGTGCAGAGCCCACGTGATCGCACCTCAACAATAGGCTGAGTGAATGCTATATATTTAAAGGCAGAAGCATGATCTGTCTAGGCGTTCATTATTATCTTTTTCAAGATAAAGATCTAAGCCCTCATAAAAATCAGAAATATCTCGAGCCGTCAAATTGCATATTGCTGTTCCTGCAGAATGGGGCGATTCACCTTAGTGACCCCCACCATATCTACTGATCAGCTAACATCACCCTCCCTCCTTTGTTGATTGTAGGCTCTGAGACTATGATTATTATGGCTACCACAAATATATTGCTTTGTACCAGACATGTTCGTACCTCATATTCCATCTCCCTGGACTTCTAAATGAGTGCTTCCAATAGGTCTCCGCCTACATCTTTATGAACATATATGTATGCATGCATCCTAATGAACTGATTACTTTGTAAGAAATTAAAAATTTGAAGAGCAAAAGAATAGGTATTTTGAATAGTGGAGCAAGATTCAGCAGAACACTATACCTAGGGTTGAATGTAGGTAGTATGAGCTGAAGGTAAGGTCGGTTGGCAGGACTTAGTGTACTAAATTATCATGACAGTCTTATATATAGTAAACATTTGACATTGCAAAGTAACCTGCCTACACCTATTATGAAAAGATATTAACACCGAAACAACAAAATTTTAGCATTTGGTTAACAATTCTGCAGAATCCTTTTTGGTAAACAGCTTGATTCCACACCGTATTTTCGGTACAAGTATGGAATTTTCAGCATGGATATCGGTAGCCCGAATTTTGCAGGCCGACCATAGATATCAGGTGTGTGTCGGCAGAGGATCGAACCTCGAACCATGTGCATGGTCGGCGAGAGTCCTAACCACTGTGCCACCAACGCACGAAGGGTAGTTAGTCTTACAGGAAGCCGCAAAGTAAATCAGTCTATACATGATAAGAGCATAATCAATGTTATAATTCGTATTATTAAGGAATACATTAGGCTCTAGTCTACTCTCTGTAGTTAAATATTGATGTCATTGTTTCACCACTCTACCAGCACTTGACATCTCTTAGGCGGGCTAGGGTGGGCATGTTAATATGTTTTTCTAGGCTCCTTTTGAAACTGTCAGGCCTTTCACAGGATCTAGTCTCAGAGGGTAGTTGGTTCCAAAGTTTATAATATTTAATGGTGAAGAAGTTAGCCGTAGTGGTGAGTTTATGGATGTTAGCCTTGAGAAAGTAGTTATGGTTGCGTGGTCTATACGATTTAGGATTGGATAACGTTATGGATGAGTTACAGTGCTTTCTTATAACTTTGAATAAGGGAAATAAATTGCACTTCACTCTCCTCAACCATAGGGGTTCTAAGTCCAGTCGAATATATCTGTCAAGGTATTCTATTTGGTGATCATAGCCTAATGGGCGTTTCGTGAGGAATCTTTGGACACTTTCAACATTTTTTCTGTCTGCTGATTTAAAGCTACTGTATACGTGGACACAGTATTCAAGTTTGGGGCGAATGCATACCTTATATATGGCCAATCTGGCTTCTTGAGTGTAAAAGTTGCATAGCACAAAGCCGGTTAGACGTTTACAATCAGATACCACCTTATTTGCATGTTCAGTAAAGGTAAGATCTGAGTATGTTACCCCGAGATCTGTGACTGTGTTCGTGTTTGAGACAAGGTTACCGTACACGTATAAACACATGCTAGGTTTCCGATGTCCGAAGCATGTTATCCCAGACTTAGCTGGATTGAACGTTAATTGCCACTTTTCACTCCAATTACATAGACTATTTAGGTCTTCTTGGATTTTATTAGCAACATTCATATCATTATAGTTGAAATCATAGACAACTTTGAGGTCATCTGCAAAGAGGTATGGCTTGCCATACTTGATCAGAGAGACAATATCATTTATAAATACAGTGATTAGGGTAGGGCCAAGAACACTACCTTGTATCACGCCGCTGGTTATCGATTTGGATGTAGATAAGTGATGGTTGACTTCAACTAACTGTTCTCTTCCTGTAAGAAAGGAAGTTATCCACTCAAGTAGCCTTCCACTTATTCCATAGGATAGGAGTTTCAACATGAGTCTGTTATGTGGGACCTTATCAGAAGCTTTCCTAACATCTAGAAATAATGTTGCTGGCGAACGGCCTTTGTCTACACATTCAGTAATGTGGTCGAAATAATCTAACTGGCAAGTAATGCACGACCTTCTATTTAGGAAACCGTATTGGAAAGGGGATGGTCATACGCATGCCAGCATATCAATAAACCGAATTAGTGTGTAAGTGTTACGGCTAGACTTAAAATAGACCTCGATGTCACCACACTTTCTAAAACCTTCACCGTCTTATAACTTTACCAGTACTCTACCTAACGTGTAAGTCCTGATTAACGCAATCAAAGTTTAAGGGCTAAAAATGGAAAGAATTCTTAGTATGCGTTGTGTTTAGTGTAAGTGAATAACAGATTTAATAAATAAAGTGACTGTACAACTTATCTGCAGACGTTGCTGGAGGTAGGCTCGGAGAGTGTGCAGAAAGAGAGCACAACGAGAGAGCGAACCAATGAACGTACGGAAGAGTCACAACTCAAAAGACAAGAAGCGTATCACCATGGGTGAGCGAGTTTAAACAAAAGTCAAAGGTACAATGTGCACTACAGGTTATGTACCCCCCCCGTTGAAGTTTGGTGGGACGCCAGCAAGCTTCGATATACAAAAGTGGGATGGCTTGGCACAATAGCAATGATTGAATGCGAAGGTTTGAAGACAGGAATAGTAAAAAATGAAATTTTACCTAAAGGAAAGAATGCGAAAGAAAAGAAAAAAATTTAGGCAAGTTGGAAGTGGTATGTACAAGATTAGTGAAGTAAGACGGAATATAATAAGAAATGACGCTGGTGCTTTGCTGTGATTTTAAGCTTTTGAGTTGTTTGTTTTTTTTACAAATTTTTCTATATCTTTTATTTTTATTTATTTTTTTATTATTTATTTATTTATTTTTTTAAACGACATACCATTACGGGCTGAATTATGTGGAGGTCTTGTGATTTACCTCCGTTACCCAGGTTGTTATAGCGAGAAGACGATTCATTATGTCTAAGTTTCATCTTAGACTAATGCGCCATCACTCCGCTTCAACCAAAACTAGTAGCCATACGAAAAGAAATGAACATGCCAGCGTATCTTTATCTTGAAAAAGATAATAATGAACGCCTTGACAGATCATGCTTCTGCCTTTAAATATATACCATTCGCTCAGCCTATTGTTGAGACGTGACCACGCGGTATCTGCACAGATTTATGGGGCATCTTATAAACTAACTTGCTGTCCATTGTCTGATCTCTAAATACCACTTCACAATGTCATATCTCATTCATTTTCCAATAACGTCTTTGCTTGATCCTCATTATATCCCAATAAACCTGACATTTTACAGCTCTTTATGACTTATTATATTCCTACTCTCTGAAGGGTACGGTTGTACACTAAATGCACATAAAGGTATAAAACAAAAACAACTGGCACAACTGAGGATAAATGTATTAAAACCAAAAGTGGACATCATGATAGTACGAGATATACGTGTAGCATTATACATTGCAAATGAACGTTGTCAGTCTAGGGAGTTTTCTTTATTAATGCATTTATTAATGATACTTGCACTTACCTATTTCATTACAATTTAATGATTCACCTCAGCACTTTTACTTTTCTAAAACAGCTTTCAATCCCTTGTAAACGTTGTACTTACCTCAATATTGGTTGATTATCGTATGCGTACAACCATGGGATGAAAACGAAACGAAGTCGATTTTCCCGCTCAACCTGGAGGACAATTGTACAATTCAATAACTATACAGCCTAGTTCAGACAATGAGTGCATTTATGTATATATATATATAATATTTAACAGTTCAAACATTATTAACTTGTAGACAATCTACGATTTGATATTATATCATACTTGATCGTGCCTGTAAAAATGGCATGCATTTTCATGTAAAGATATATGTTTATATGAGAATATACATTATTATTATTAATACCGTTCTGAAGTAGTGTGGAGGGCGTACGTCAATGGCTTATGGTCGGTAAATACCGTGAATTGCCGGCCTTCCACGAAGTGCTGAAAGTGCTTGACATCAGCATAGACAGCGAGAAGTTCCCTACCGATGTGCTGTATCGAGATTCGCATGCGGTAATTTACGTGAAAAGAAAGCAATCGGTAGCCATGCTTTGGGCACACGCTGTTGTAGGACGGCTCAGATTGCAGTATTAGAGGCATCTACGGAAATGCTGATTGGGAGTTGGACATCCAGATGGACCAACATTGTGGCATCAGCAATAGCTTTCTTGATAGCTGCGAAAGCTGTTGAGGCTTCCTTAGTGAACACCAAAGACTTGCATTTCCCTTTAAGCATATCAGTCAAGGGGGTCAAGATGTGGGCGCACTGTGGGATAAAGCGACGGTAGTAACTAACCATCCCGAGAAAAGTGCGTAGTGCCTTGAGAGAAGTGGGTAGAGGGAAGTTTTGAATAGCTTCTACCCGGTCAGGTAACGGATAAATTCCATCTTTGTCTATCCTATGTCCCAAAAATTTCAAGGCAGTGACTCCAATCTGACACTTCGGGAAGTTGAGTGTGAGGAAGTGTGTTACAAGTCTTCGGAAAACCGTCTGCAAATGAAGTTGATGAGTGGCTTCATCTGGACTAGCTACCAAAATATCGTCCATATAGGCAAAGGCGAAATCAAGCCCGCGCAAAACGTCATGGATAAAACGCTGGAAGGTTTGGGCAGCGTTCCGTAAGCCGAAAGGCATTCGAAGAAATTCGAACAGGCCAAACGGCGTAATCACGGCCGTCTTGGGCATATCCACGGGGTCGACGGGGATCTGGTAGTAAGCCCGAGTCAGGTCCAGTTTGCTGAATACTCGAGCTCCCTTGAGTGAGGCGGCTAAATCGTGTATGTGAGGGACAGGGTAGCGATCGGGAACAGTTTGTGCGTTTAGTCTGCGGCAGTCGCCACAAGGACGCCAATCTAAACCGTTATTCTTAGGTACCAGGTGCAACGGTGAGGACCACGGGCTGCTGGATGGCCTAATAATCCCCATTTCTAGCATATGCTCGAACTCCGCTTTAACAACCTTTAGTTTTTCTGGGGATAGTCGTCTCGGCTTTGCGAAAACTGGCGGACCAGTAGTGACAATATGGTGTGTGACGTTGGAAGTCGCACATGGCAGGCCGCTGCTAGGTTTGAACAAATCGGAAAAAGACTGCAGTATATGCGAATAAGGACCAGTACTAGTGGGTGTGGCATATACAGGGCTGAGGGCTGGGCCTTGTGTGACGATACCGCTGACGGAGAGGTTTGTGACAGGATCTCTTAACTTATGATTACCTGTATCTACCAGTAATTGGTAGTGCTGCAATAAATCCATGCCAATTATACCTGTGGTAACGTCTGCCACCAGGAAGACGCAACGAAATGAAAGACGCAAACCGATGTTGAGGTCTATAAAGCGCCTGCCGAACGTAGCAATTGGCGAACCGTTTGCGGCTCGTAGTCGAAGAGACATTGGCCGCCTGCGCTCCTCTACTGTGGGTGGGATTACACTGACCTCCGCTCCGGTATCAATTAGGAAGCGTATCCCAGTGTTACGGTCGGTAACATAGAAGAGGCGACATGAGAGCGGTTCGCCAGCGACGTTAGTCGCCAGTACGTGCTGGCTTGCTAGTTTCCTGATTGTTGAACATCGAAGGTGCACGGGCGAGTTCACTTTTAGGCTTTTGCTCCGTAACGTCGATGATACCAGCACACTCCAGGCTGGTTACTTCGGGACTGTCGGCGCTTGCTGCTAGCACGTGACAAGGGTCTACCACTACGCGAACTCGAGCGACTGCGTGCACGACTCCTGGAGTTCATCTCCTGTCGTATACTACAGATCTCCTCGTATAAATTGGCTATATGGGCCACCGCGTCAAAGCTTGATGACCCCCGTCAGAAGAGTCTTTAGTCTGAGCAGGAGCAGCGGTTACGTTTGCGGAAATGCCAATTTTAGGATTGATGACCTTTACCGCTCTATCAGCTGCCTCGGCTAACTCCTGTAAGGGGTACTTGTAGATCGATGCCAAGATACCCTGGACTGTCTGAGGTAATCCTTGAAGTCAAAGCTGTTTCAGAAAGACCTCGTCAATTTTAAAGTCCGCCACTAACTGCCTCATCTGCCTCAACATTTGTGGGGGCTTGCGGTTACCTAACTGAACATCTCGGAAAAGTTCCTGCACTTTCTGTTGGTCAGTAAGTGCAACTCGTTGAATCAACGCCTGTTTGAGCCGCTCGTACCGATCCGGAGACGGATCTGCAAGAACGTCAGACACTTCGTCTATGACATTTTCGGGCAGGCTCATAATCACGTGGTTTACTTTGGTCTCTTGTGAGTGTATGTGTCTAATGGAAAACTGAGCCTCTATATGATTGAACGATGCAGCTGGACGATGTGTCCAGAAGGCGGGGAGTTGCAGCGTTATAGCCATCTCTGACGCAGAAACGTTGTCAGCCATCTTGCACACAAGACAAAAACTTAACAAGGCGATAAAAACCAATATAAGTAAAAACAAAACAAATCAAATCATTATAACCGTGCGTGAAAAAAATTAACAAAATAGACGGTATGTAAAAAGAATTATTAACACGTTAAGCTACTATGGCGGAAAACGGTGAAAACGGGCTCACCACTTGTAAGTGTTGGGGCTAGACTTAAGATAGACCTCGATGTCACCACACTTTCTAAAACCTTCACCGTCTTATAACTTTACCAGTACTCTACCTAACGTGTAAGTACTGATTAACGCAATCAAAATTTAAGGGCTAAAAATGGAAAGAATTCTTAGTATGCGTTGTGTTTAGTGTAAGTGAATAACAGATTTAATAAATAAAGTGACTGTACAACTTATCTGCAGACGTTGCTGGAGGTAGGCTCGGAGAGTGTGCAGAAAGAGAGCACAACGAGAGAGCGAACCAATGAACGTACGGAAGAGTCACAACTCAAAAGACAAGAAGCGTATCACCATGGGTGAGCGAGTTTAAACAAAAGTCAAAGGTACAGTGTGCACTACAAGTGAATCACTTCCGTGATCTTCTTCAACCTTCTTTCGGAGAGACCGAACTAAAGCATCATGTGGTTCACCACATTGAAACCAATGAAACACCAGGTTTTGTATGTCCTCGACGACTTGATGCACACCAACTGGGTATCGCAGAGACAGAATCTAAATAGATGATATAGCATGGAATCTTTCAACCATTTAAAAGCTCTTGGTCTTCATCGCTTCTCATGGTCATCAGAAGGTCTTCAAGTGAAATATGTCCGTATTGTAGTTATCGAGATTTGAAGAAACAAACAGTAACCGGAAGATACCAACAACCACTTATAAATGATTTAGCTCAAAACTGGACTGACTGCAAGGTTTCGCTAGGATTTTTCTTATGAAATCTTCCATCGCATAGCCATCCATCCAGATAAAGTTTGCAGACTATGTACCAATACGAATGTACAGTCGTTAGAAAGCTATTGAACAGGAAACATTGTACAAAAAATTTGTT